CGCAGCTCAATTGTGAACTGAACGGTGGCTTGTTTCTTCCTGAATTTGGCATGAAGACTCGGCTCTCTCCCAAGTCTCCTCCTCCCTATATCCTCCTCCATGTCTGCCAGGATCAGCCCTGAGCAGAGGAGAGGGCGCCTGGGAATGCTGTCTTCTCCTCCAGGGCCCTAAGACACCAGTGGCTGTGACCACCACACTGGCTCCAGTAGAAATCAGGGGATAGGACAAAAACCGAGCCAAAGCTAAATCAGAGATGGGCCGCCAGCCACACAGGGAACAAGTGCCTGGGCTCCGGCTCTCACCTGTGCCTACACTCGGGGCTGAAAATTCAGCCCTGTCTCCAACAGCACCCAAAGCCCGGCCAGGCCAACAGCTGCCTCCCATAAGGGACTGTACCTGGTCCCCCAGGTTCCACTGATCCACCAGAAACGGGGCAGGGTCAGCCATGCTGAGTCATCATCTTATAAGTGCAGGGGAAGGGCTTGGCCAGGCAGGGAGCTGGCGGAACCAGAGAGCTCTTCAGGTGAGCAGATGGAAGCCACGCTGGCCATGCTCCTACATGGCAGAGGAGCATGCCACCACACCATGTCTCAAAACAATGACTTCCTTAAGTTATGTATAACACAGAAGGATTCACCCGAACCTCACATATGCTTTTAAAAATTGTTTTTTGGCTGGGCATGGTGGCTCATGCCTGTAATCCCAGCATTTTGGGAGGCGAGGCAGGTGGATCACCTGAGGTCCGGAGTTCAAGACCAGCCTGGCCAACATGGCAAAACCCTGTCTCTACTAAAAACACAAAAATTAACCAGGCATGGTGGCATGTGCCTGCAGTCCCAGCTATTCGGGAGGCTGAGGCAGGAGTATCACTTGAACCTGGGAGGCAGAGGTTGCAGTGAACCAAGATCGTGCCACTGCGCTCCAGCCTGGGTGACAGAGTGAGACTCCATCTTAAAAAAAAAAAAAAAAAAAAGTTTCTCCCTACAGCAAGTCAGAACTCACTTCCCTGTGGACTATCAGGCACTCTGGTGAGCCCAGGTGTCTGCTCCCCTCTCTGCTCCTATTTCTGCCATATCGCTCTTCCACTCCAGTTTGCTGCTCAACTTTTGGCCTATGTGGACGCAGCCAGGCCAGATCTCTGAGTTTCTTTTCTAACAGGTGAAGGCATGTGCTAACTTCCCCAGGAATTAGATGAACAGGGAGGGTTACTGTTAAACTCAAAACCATTGGGCCAGGCGTGGTGGCTTACGCCTATAATCCCAGCACTTTGGGAAGCCAAGGCAGGCGAATCACGAACTCAGGAGATCTAGACCACCCGGGCCAACATGGTGAAACCTCGTCTCTACTAAAAATACAAAAATTAGCTGGGCGTGGTGGTGGGCACCTGTAATCCTAGCTTCTCGGGAGGCTGCGGCAGAAGAATCGCCTGAACACGGGAGGTGGAGATTGCAGTGAGCCAAGACTGCACCACTGCAGTCCAGCCTGATGACAGAGTGAGACTCCGTCTCAAAAAAAAAAAAAAAGAAAACCATTTGCAGCTAACTTACTTACTTTCTTCCCCCCTCAGGAGTAAATGCAGATGAGCAAAACCCTCCCAGGCTTGGAAAAGACATCCTCCAAAGCCCAGCTGGGCGGCCAACTGCAGTTCTGCCCCCGCACAGCTCCAGGACTTTCCTTAATTCTCCTCTTCTGGGCCCAGGTCACATGCCACACAGCCAATGGGGCCTGGAATCTGGGCTGGCATCTGAGGGCGGCGGAGGCCTCAGGAGTCAGGTGACTCGGGCCCACCATTCTCGAGTGTCTGTGTCAGCAGCCTCCCCCTCCCCTCTGGCAGAGCCAAGGGGCACCGAAGCTCCTTCTCCATCACACCAGCATGGTTAGGTGCCTGCTTTTCCCTTTAAAGAAAAAACAAAGGTAGTCTGACACTGAATCGGACTGTTTCGGCTCACACAATGCCAGAACATTTTGTTCATTTTGACTTCTTGAGTTCCACTGCAGCACAGGCAAGAGGTTCTGGAAGCTCTTGGGAATCCCAACTGCCCCCGCTAAATGCGAGAGTTTTGACTAAAAATAAACAAAGATCACATCACTAAGGCGGCACTCCACGGAAATTCTCTCAGAGGCCAGCCTCGTGCTCCTCCAGGAAGGTCACTCCAAGGTCAAAAGGCGGGGCCCTGGGCAGTGTCGCCCCTAACCCTTCTACGGACTGCTGGAGAAGACCGACCCCTCCTGAGTCCTGTGCCCTCAGCAGCATTCACCTGGTGACTGCCCGACGGCCACTTAAGCTCTGCCCTCCCCCACCCCTGTGCACTCTCTCTCTCCTAGGTCACAGTGGCCTCCAAGTTGTCTGCTCCAAACTCCATCAGCACCGCCACTCCCCAGTCACTGGGCCTTTAAAACTGCAAAGCACATCCTCCCCCAGCTCCCTGCTCTTCGCCTTACACTTTACTGCCAACCTGACATAGATCAGCCCCGCTCCCCACTGAAATCTATACTCTTCTCACCCAGGCTCCAGGCCCCCAGATTCCCTGACAGTCTCATGCAGCTGTGCCTGGGCACCCCTGCTTTCCTGGTCTGAAATAGCTCCTCCTCCCCATTCTTCATCTGTCTAAACTCCTGCTCATTCCTCAAGACTCAGGTCAGCTGTCACCCCCTCCAGGAAGCCGTCCCTGCCCTCCTCCCTTCAGCTCGGTTTAAGAGACCTTCCTATGACTTCCAGAGGACAGTGGGACTCACCAGTACCTTGTGTAAACATATCTTCATTCATTTATTATGCTGTGTCTGGCACATAGTAGAAACTCAATAATCACGTGCAGTCAGGCTGTCCATAACACGAGCTATGAGCTCCTTAAAAACAGGGGGTTCAGTAGATGCATCTCGGAATTCCTCGGTGCCTGATGAAGTGTCTGACACACACAGAGGCTGTCACTCCATACTGGCTGAACTGCACTGAGCCTGGGGGCCACCGCCCTAGCAGATATGTTCTGTGCTCACCGCAGGAACGGTGACACACTCAAGGAGGACACACTGGGCGAGGATGACACACTCCATCTGGCAGGTGAATTATGCCACATCCATGAGACCAGAGGCAGCTGAGACACCTCAGAGACCTCCCTTACACAGCCCTCACTCACAAAGCTTCAGGACGTCATGGTCCTAACAGAGAGTCTGCTTCAAAACCACCCATGCCCAGCCACCTTGGGGGGTCCTCTGGAGAGGATGCTCTAGGGCCAGCCCCAGAGGGAGAGGCTGTCACAGCCTGGAGTCAGGGGGCCCCTCCCACAATCTAATAAACAGCATGAGTCTTTACACCTCATGCAGAGGTGCTCCCTCAAAGCTACCCAAAGTGCAGCCAGAAATCTCATCAGTCGAGACTGCCCATCGTGCTCACCCCCCAGGATGCCAGCCCCAGACTCATGAGGAGCAATGCTCACCAGACCCAGGGAACAGACGCGTCAGGAGTCAGAGGCCTGCACCAACAGAAGCCCGGGAGGCACAGGCTGAACCCTTCCCTCGGACCTCCAAGCCAAGGGCTCCTTTGAAAGCTTCCACAAGCTTAGATGAGCTCTTGCTCCTGCAGACACTGGGGTCAGGTTCAGGCGGTAGGCAGTAGAGGGGTCTAGAAGCAGCCAGAATCATACCCTAGGCCAAGCTGGGGGCGGGCACTCCAGCTACAGCCACATAATCCGCACCTGGAAGACGCTGACTCCAGGTGTCCAAGGCAGCTCCCCCAACGTGAGGGAAAGAGCAAGAAACAAAGGTGCCCACTGCAAAGCACCTAAAGAGAATCCAAAAGGTCGTAAGTGGGCCCCTCATTCACAGTCTAGATAGGTGTGCAACCACTAATTCCTTGGTTTCCAAAGAATTCATTCACAGAAGTATCAGTCCCAGCACATCCAAGATGGTGAGGCCACATCATAACCCATACGTGCATTTAATTTTCTATGCTTAGGAACAAAACTAAACCACTTTTGGTAAACAAAGATTTAGTTCCCTAAAGAGAAAGCTTAAAAGACTTACTAGTATCAACTCTTGTTGACAGCTACACTTCTAACTAAACTATAATGCATACTTCCAACTTTTCCTCCCAGAAAACCCTACACTATCCGAAGAGGATGCCGGAGGAGAAGAGGCTCCATCTGCCCCAGCCTGACCTGTCCAGCCAGGCCAAGCTCCAGCTGAAGCCCCTCTGCTCTGTCCTGCCTCCTGTCCTGGCCTCCCTTCAGTCCTCCCGACAGCAAGTGCTTGCCACAGGCTGCGTGAGATACTCACTAATGTTTGCTGGGCTCTAAGTGTCCCAACGTGTGGTTTCACTCAGGGCCCCAAACCTAGGGGCTGGGGTGCTGTTAGCACTGCCACACTCCAGATGAGGGAATGGAGACCAGACACACAGCCACCTGCTCAAAGGCACATGGCATGGCTGGCAAAGGGCAGACCTGGGATTTGAACCCAGGCTTCTGATTCCAAAGCTGAATGCTACTTTTGCCCTCAATGATACACAACTGGGTGTCACTTAGACTCTGCCCAACAGTGACGTCAAACAGTCCCCATTTTTCCTGCAACCACAAGACGCACCTTGCTGGCATGCAGCCGACCAAGGCTTTGCAGCAGAACCCCTGGCTGCCCAGTCACACTCATTCCCTACCTGGCATCACTCTGCAAGGCACTACGCCCATTGCAAGGGGCTTCTCAAACAAGCTCTAAACTGATCTTCCTAAAAACACTGGGAGGCAGGAGCAGCAAGATGAGAAATGAGAAGCCAAGAGAGGTTTACGGGGCAAATTCAGTCCAGCAAGCAGGCAGTCTGTGCCCACTACCTTCCAGCCAGGAAATTCAATCGTTTGACTGCCAAAGGGATTCCATGGGAGAATGGTTCCTATGGCCCGGTCCCCAGGATCATGCCACAGAGGGCCTTCCCTGCATTCTGCACTCTATCTGGAAACCGAAAACCACAGACACGTCTTTTCCCCCAGCTCAGGAGCCAGGCTCCTTCTGCTCACCCAGATCATGGAGACGGCCAGCTGCAGGGGACATCAGCTTCCCACCTCCACACATGCAGAGAAGCTGCTCCCAGCCTGCGGGCAGAACCTCCCTCCACTCCCAGGCCCACGGCCAAGGCCAATGCCAGAGCAAGGGGAATTCCAGTCAGGGCCGCAGGCCTCTCCCCGCTGGGCTTTCTCTGTCAGGGTGCTCAGGCTTCAGCCAGCGGGCAGCCTGGGCGGGCAGCCTGGGCGGGAGGGTGGCCTCTGCGGGGTGGGGGCAGGCAGCAGCAGTGGAACCTGCAAAAGCCACCTTCCTGCACAGGCACAGTCCAGCTGCCAGGACACACAATGGCCTCAGACAGGACCTGCACAGGCCCAGCTCTCCAGGAGCTCGAAGGCCCACCCACGCCCCCTCCTAGCAGTTACAGCATGGCACCCAGGCAGGAGTTGCCAGGGAGCGCCCACTGGGCAAAGCACATGTCTTACAGCAGGTACTCTCCTCCCCAGTGAGCACCGGATGGAAAAGCAGCACGGCGTGGCAGAAATAATACAGGGCTGAGGGCGGCTGGGCCAAGTTCAAACCCCAACTGCCCCTTCTCACCTGGGGTGAGCGATTCCTCCAGGCCACAATATTTTCATCAACGAAACAGGGGTCGTCCCTCAGCCACAGGTTGTGCTGAGGATCAAATGAACTAACGAAGTAAAGTGCCTGGCTCCACACTGGACACCTAGCAGATGTCCAGTCAGTGTCTGCTGAATGAATGTGGAAATTGCAGCCCTGAGGAAAATAGCAATTCTCCTCTTCTCCCCTCGCTCGGCCCAAACCCAACTCCCAACAGGGGAGAAAGAGCCCTTAGTCACTACTCACCACCACCACGACACAGATGGGCAGACTGAGACACTTTTGGCACAGAAGCCAAAACCTTCTTCATCAAGCTCACCTTCACAAGGTTTCAGCACCTTCCACTGGGGCTCAGGTGGGGGCGGATGGATAGCACGTTTTCACTTGGCTAATGAACTCTGAGCAATGATCAAGTTCACCTGCTGGTCTACGCTAAAGCAGGCATAAGGTCCCATGTCATGAGAGCACAGCAGTAGGGCAGGGACTCAGGAGACAGAGGCTGCACCTTCGAGAACTGGCTACATGACCCTGGGAGATTCGCCTCACCTCTTAAGGCCTGGACCTCTCTTCTAGAAGCTGACATCAGCAGACCCAAGAAGCTCTCACTCTCCAAGGCCCTCGGCCATTCTAAACACAAGTCTATGAAATGTAATCCTGAGTATGCTCACAGGAAGACAGGCTCTGAGCTGTTAGGGACAACCAGGTGCCTGAGAGTGACATTCACGGCCAACCTGGGTGAAAAAGACTCACCACTCACAGAGAGTTGCCAGGATATGCCTGAGAACCAAACTGCATCTTTCCTCCCCTGAGCCCCAGGGGGGCACGATGTGCCAAACCCCCAGAAGGAACAAGACCACTAGGACAGCAGGGAGGCAGGGGCTGCAGGAGAACGGCCCTGAAAGCACAGCCTGAGTAAAATCCGCCCCTTCAATCTGGAAAGAAGGTGGTTCAGAGGGACTGTGCTGAACGCTGGCCCAGCAGAAACAGAATGACCTGGATGATGCCAAGCAGACACTTCCCCTCGGGATGGGCCTTTCAGACACCACTTCACCAAGACCTAGCAGCAGCGGCAGAAAATCCCCACGGGTTTGCTCCGCTCTTGAATAGGGAAGCCCCCAGTCTCCTGCTACGGAATAGGGAGACTAAGGGACGACCCCTGGGTATGCATGGGGTCTATTACCGCCTCACTCCTCAGTCTTGGATGCACAAGAGAATCAACTCAGGAACTTTAAAGATACCAATGCTGGGGTGCTGCCTCCTCTCTCCAAGACTGTGATGTAATTGGTCCCGAATGCAGCCTCGGCATCTGAGTTTTTTTTCAACCTTCCCAGGTGACTCTAATGTGCAGCCAAGGTTCAGAACCACTCCTCTAGCTTCTAGAAGTTCAGAGCACAGGGGCCCCAGAACTCTCCTGCAAACTCTTCAGGGGCAGAAAGGACAGCATGTCCAGCCAGGCAGGCCTTGCTAGAGATGGGTCTCCTTATTCTTCCTTCAAAACACGCACACACTCACACCCCAGAACCAACCTGCAAAGAACCTGTTTCTGTCTGAAACAGAATGCAGGGCTGCTGCCCAGCCCTGGCTGAGGCGGACCAAGTTCAGTTACGCTGGAGGATATACAATTGTGTTCAGTTACTTGATTACTTCAGGCATGTAAACAAAATGTGATATTGTACAAACCTGGAGCAGCAAACACCACATCATAATTTACTTCGAGACATCTGAATTACAAATGTAAAAAAAAAAAAAAAAAGTTGGAAATGCTTTCAAGAATCTCTTTGAATGGAAAATGGAATCTGAATAAATGTGATTTACTTCCTGTTTCCCCCAGAAGGCCAATGGAAATATTTTCTTGTGAATCTGCCTTTTCTGAGATTGAGGCAAAACATCTCAGCCTCCCAGGCTATGGCACTGCCTTTGGTCCTATAGTACATACAGATTTCAATCACTCCAAAAAAAAAAAAAAAAAAAGTAGCCATTGGAAAGGGGAGTGGAGAGGAAAAAGCAGTTAAAAGTTCTAGGTTTTCCTGTGTTGTTAACAAGACTAAACAAAATGTATGCTTTGAGATAAAACAGAACCCAGTGCCTCTATCTTGTGAACACAACCCGGTGTAGGGAAAGCAAGCAGGCTCTGAAGGGCTAGAACTCCTGCCTGGATTTCTGCCTTCCAGCTATGTGGCCTCGGGCCAGCTCCCTGGCCTCTCTGAGCCTCAGCTATAACTGCAGATTTGCTTTGAGAATCAGAGCGTACGCAAAGCCCCAGCCCGGGGTGGGCCTTCAACAACCAGTGGGTGCTCCTATTCTTCTGTGAACAATCTGCACCCATTTCAGCTAAATCCTTGGGAATCACATTATAGCAGCACAGGGGAAGAATCTGTTTCTTTGTTTAATGAGAGAACAGAAAGAGTGGGTGGAGAAGTCAGGAGTCAGTCTGCCACAGCACTCTGGGGTCAAATGGGCTGTTTACCAACATGATTTGCTTTCACCCTCCTGAGAGTGGCACTGTGGAAAGAGTCCTTCCCGAGATCACAGATGCCCAAGAGGCAATGTGGTTTCCATGCTATTCCAGCGTGGTCTGGCCAAGCTGTCCCCCATCCCCCCACGCAAAAGGCAGCTTCCCCGCGCAGCCCCCACAGCAGGAGAGACGGAGAAGCATTAAAGAAGCGGGGGTGCCTGTCACACTTCTCTGTAACCCCTGACGTGATGTGAAATTCTACAAGGTAGACCCTTTGAAATGCAAAATCTTCCAGAGTCCTTCAAATGTGTTTGTATTTTCTCGGGTTCCTAAGGCTGCTTTCAGATCCACCCATCAGCATTTCCCCTCTCAATCAACCCACATTTAACAAAAAAAAAAAAAAAAAAAAAAGAAAGAAAAGGAAAGAAAAACCCAAGGACGTCTCTCAAGTATCTCCAATCACCGCGAGGGGAAGAAAAGAGCATCTTGTCGTCCTTGCATCACTCCGAGACACCCCGAAGCCAAGTTTCCTCTGCAAGATTTCCTCCCATCACTCCGTCGCTCAGGATCTTAGAGAACTGTCCTAGATAAGAATCTGAGTTCCCCCCAACCCAAGTTCGGTAAGACAGGCACCAACAAAACCACGACCTGAAATACATGAACCCCAAATCTTGCCCCCAAACCCTGTGCACAGGAGGTTTGGATGAAGCATCAAAGAAGTTACCTTAAAACAAAGTTGTTTGGCAAAGAAAAATACTTCACTGCAAGAACCACCCTAGGGAACGGTAAATTGCTTTTGAATATGGACTTTTCAGTGGCGCAGTCATTAATCATGTTAATGTCAACTTCGCTACAACAAAAATTTTCTAAGCAAGTCTCAGGGCACATCAGCATATCTAAGCCTCTGGGTTTGTTTCCAAAGTTCACCTCCCGGCAGGCGATGAAACTGCTGTTAATGGGGTTGGCTATTACAGTGCCGTCCCCAACCTTGGGCCATAATAAAGGTGACTCAGCCATCCAAAAAGAACCCTCAAAGTTAGGCAGGATACAAACAAATTATCAGAGAGTCAATGATTTTGGAAAGTGTATTCACTGGACAAGTTTAAAGAGAAACTCTCCCTGGATGATGGGACGGACATTTCAGGAGTCGTCGAGGGAGAACAATCAGCACTCCTCCCAGCACTCAAGTCCCTGGTCAGACCCTGTTTGGTAGAGTGGAGAAGAGGGCGGCAGCCGGACAAGGCAGGGAGGAGGAGAGTCCAGCAGAGCTAAGCTTCCCCGAGCCCCACCAGCCCCGGCCATGTGCTTCGCGTTGGCAACAAACCGGTTCTTTCAAGAGAGGAGGAGTCTGACAAAAAGGACAGCTGCAGCAAAGCAGAAGCTGAGGGTGAAAACCTCTCCAAAGCCCTGAGCTTGGGATTCTCCCCTGAAGTTAAACAAAACAAACCACCCCTGGGGTTTGCAAGGACTAGTTAATCTATTAGTCTCCCCCTTGCTGGATCAATTAAAGAGAGTCCCTCCACATCTGGTTTCCATCGAAAACCGAAACGTGTATTATCAGCATATTACATAACAAATTACGCCTGCAGGTTTCTTTTATTACACATCCGAGAGGTGTGCATGGTGGCGGTAACGATGGGGGTTGTGTTGATCTGAGTATTTGCTTATTTCAGTCTTTTTACTTAAGGTCAAGAACAAAAAGTTTTCCATACAGTGCGCAATTTAACGGCAGAAAGTGACGATGCCCAGATAAAACATCAACTGAACAATCCGAAGGTGGGCCTAGAGCTCAGTCCTCAGGGCTCAGGGCATTGAGCAGTGGGTGAGAAGGGTGTGCTTTTTAAAAGAGCTCTGCAGCGTCCCCTGCTGCCAGCTCCTAATATTCAAACACAGCTCTCCTCTCCGGCCTCCAGAAGGGGAGGAGAGCAGGCTGGCCCTTCCTGAGCTTCAATGAGGGGTCAGGCGCCTGCTCACTGGACCTGCTTAAAGGAACCCAAGCCCACTAGGCTTCAACAGAACGGGGGGATGGGGAGGCTAGGGGACAGTGAGGGAATCAACAAGCGGGAAGGGAAAGAGCCCAGGAAATATAACAGGGCTTCCCATAAAATGTCAAGGAAGCCTAACCACCATGACAACAATAAGGTATCATGAAGCTCGTTCCAAAAAAACTTTATGAAACTTCCAAAATGTTATGTGCAACATACCCTAAGTTGAAAAGAGAAGGGAGAAACTGATTTAAAACATTATGAACGAAGGCAGTGATGTTCTACTTTGTCCTGAGAAGACTGGAACATTCAAGTCCACTTCTGCAGCAGCGAGGTTGCTAGTTTCTATTTAAAATTGATAGTAAAATGGCTGCACATGAATCTCACCTTCTCAAAAAAATAGGAAGTTGTTGGGCAAATATTTTTTAATTCAAATCGCCTCGTTCTCTGAAGGCACGTTTGAAGAAAAAAATACAGGCCTTCCCCAAGCCTCTCCTTAACTAGATTCTAACCTGAAAAAGGGCCTGGAAGCTGGATCGGCACACTCCCAGGTGGCATGATGGGTGACAGCCAAGTGCAGACACAGAGTCAAGGGCTACCAACCCTGATCCAAACCTTCCCACTGAATGGGACTATCAGTTGGGACAAGTAGCTGTTTATGTAGTCCACAGCCAAAGAGGAAAAAAAAACCCTGCAGACCTGCGATTCAGTATCAAACTGTAACTGACACAAGTTACTCTTAAGTAGATGCATTTAAATGAAACCAAAGCCTGGCCTAATAAGGAACACTGAGTTTCACCTGGTTGGCTAACGCCATTCCTTCCCAAGTCCTCAAACCAGGTGGCATCTTTTAAACGAGTCCAGGATCTGGAGCAAGGAGGAATCTCCCTGCCAGCCGGTGGGGACTGCTGGGAACACATATGCTAGCATGTCATTTGGAAGTCTGCTAATATGTTGTAAGCAGCACAAGACGCTTGCCTGGCTTCCCAGGCCAATAAACAATGCCATTCCAACTCCTCAGCAGTCAATAGGAAACAGTCCCTTTTCTCTACCATCCAACAATTCAACAAACATTTGTTCCTGTTGAACAACCGTCAGCCTGGCTCCATCTGCACCCGCTCCTACGAGGCGAGCGCGGCGGCAAAGGCGGCGGCACAAATGCCCACCCCAGGCTCCCGGACCCGGAATGCAATCCACTCCGGGGGCCACTTTCCTACCACCACCGAGTCCGGAGACTGTACCGCATGGAAGACTCGGAGTGTGGCCTATAGGAGGCAGAATCCCATTCATCAAACGCTGCAAAGAGCTTTTCTTTGTTCACCATCGTCCTAAGTACAGTACGTGTTAATGAGCCCGGGCGGTCAGATGGAAGAAGCTCGGCTTCAGGGGGTGTCCGAACGCGAGAGACCCGGGCAAACCAGTCCGCGCGATTCGTAGCTGCTGCGGCGCCCCGGCCCAGACCACGAGCATTGTTCCCCAAGTCCGAAGACCGGGGTGGAGAGCTGGGGGCTGGGACGTGGGGGTTCGGGGGGGGGCGAGAACACACTTGGGACAACACCAACCGCAAACCCTCCCCGGATTCTGGGTGTCCTCGCTTCTTTCGTCTCTGCCCCCACCAGGGGAAACCCTGAGCTGGGAACCCGACTCCCACGGGCTTGCAAAATCCAAGACTGGCAAAAATGTGACTGGACCAGTGTGCCTGTGCCGGACGGCCCTTCTCGCCATGTGCAAAAGCCACGCCGGCGCGGACGCCCCCACTCCGCAAGCCCCAGCCGTGGCCACCCCTCGGGCTTCCCCGCCCGGGACAGAACGCCCCCCTCAGCCCCATCCTGACCGCTCCGGACAGTCCAGCAGCAGTGGCGCCCGCCGCCTCGCGCCCGCATCCCGGGGGTGGCGGGTGCAAACTTCCGCGAACAAAAGAGTTGCCTGCAAACGATGCGGGAACTTCGGGGCGAAATGGGGCCGCCCGGCTCCCGAGGCTCTGCGCCTCCGCCGCAGCGGCGAGTCCGGGCTCAAGCCAAGACGCGGAGAGGACACCCCTGGGCGCAGCCGTCCCAGCGCCAGCCCGCCCTGGCCTGGGGAGCTTAGACTTTTCCGCCGCAGCCAGGCTGGTTCGTCCCCATGCCTGTGCTCTGACAAGTCCCACGCCTGCAATCAGGGGTGAGACTGAGCGCCCAGAGAAACCGCCCGACCTAACCCCAACGCGAAATAAGGCAGAAAATAAGGAAACCAGCAACATTAGGAAAAAAGAAAAAAAAAAAGGCAAGCCCATTGCGCACGCAAGCTGGGCTCCCTCCAGCCGGCGGCCGGGACGCACACGGCCCGGACCTCGCCCGGGGCCAGCCCCCCGGCCACCGCTGCCGCCGCCGCCGCCGCCCGGCCCCGGGTCGCTTACTGTGCGCGGCGGGGCGCTCCGGGCGCGGACCCCGCGCAGTCACCGCCAGCGCTCGCCAAGTCGTCCGGGCTGCCCGCCGCGCGTCCACCGCGCGCACGCTCGCTTGCCGGCGCCGAGCGCTTTGTACGAGCGGCTCCCGGAGAGGAGGAAATCGACTTGTCACTTCCTGAAGTGTTTGCAACTCGTCCTTTTAACCTGCCCCGGCCAGGCCGCCCGCGCCCGCCGCCGCCGCGGGGCCGCCCGACCGCGGCTGCGTGAACTCGGCCCGGCGCTCAGCGGGCGGCGTCGCGGGCCCGGGTGCTCGGCGCGGCGGCGGCGTGCAGGAGCCAGGCGGCGTGCGGCGGCGTGCGGCGGCGGGCGAGTGTGCAGTGCGCGCAGCCGCCAGTGGGCGGGGAGTGGGGGGTTCGCGGCGCGCCACTGGCGGGGCTAGAGGGCGTCCTGCGGGCTCAGCCGCGCGCCGCGCTCCCGCCTGCGAAACCCCGGGACGCGGGAAGTGGCCCCGGGCCTGGGCCGCGCCACAGCGGCTGCCCGGGCCCCGCGCCAGGGGCCCTACGGGCTTCTCTCCCCGCCCCCCGCACGAGCCGGGATGAAAACGCTGGGCCGCCTAGGCTTCAGGCGTCCAAGCTTCCGGGTTGTTAGGTGCCGAGGTTCAAAAGAAACGATCACTTCAGTGCCTTGCAGGACAGGGGGCTGGCGGGTGGGGTGGGGGGGGACTTGAAGTGTTGTCACAGTTTGGAAAAATAAAGCGCAAGTTTCCTAACTCGGGGCGCTGATCAAAATGAAGGAATGTGTACTTCAGAAGCCACATCCAAAATACATGCAACTGGCGAAGGAAGGATTTGTGGTTGCTAAGCAGAGGCAGAGCATGTTTAGTTCTGTAACTTAGGATGTTGACTTAAGTTCAGGAATGTAACCCTGATAGAATAAGCAGAGTATTTTCATTGTGCTGCTCACCTGGGGGAGGGGATTGTTTTCCTTGTGAAGTGAAGCCCTAGATTTCCCATTACTCCTTCCTACTGGTGTATGTTATTTTATTGACCTTGTATCCAAAAAGCGATTTTTAAAGAGAAGGTTTTTAAAAATTCCCTATGCCTGTTTTGTGTTCTCCTTTGCCAAAAAAACAAAACACCTCATTACTTTACATGGATTGTGTCTGCGCCATTTGAATGGTTCTATTCATAAATCAGGAAACTTTTTCTGTTGCTTCTAGGAACATTTAATTGGTTTTAATCCAATGTTTCAATCCCAGTATCAAACATAAATGAACAATTAACTTCTTGAGCTTTGTGCACTTGGGAAACTATTACATTTCATGGCTATTGTTAAAATACTTCAGAATATCATCACACTGGACCCATTCTTTTCAGGAAAGCATAAACTGACATCTCCTTTCATACTACAGCTCACTCCACTGAGTTCTGCTGCATGATTAGAATGGACAGCAATCAGTGGAAAGGATGTGAGTCTATTCATTTCAAGTTACATGATGTGGGATAGAGTCAGTTCATCCTAAGAAAGCCAAAATGAACTAATATACACAGTGCAGAATACTAAGATATTGATATCCTTATCCATATTCATTGCTTTTTAAAAATGCATTAAGGACCAATCTTGAAAGTAGCAAGAACCAAGAACCGATGATGAACAAAAGGTGGCCCAGGGAATAATCTGAGAATGTTGCTACGCTTAACGGAAAGACTCAGTGTTTCCCTAAAGCCATCTATCTGATGTCACAGAATCACCTCAGCCTTTGAGAGCTTTAAGGACAGAGTTTAATTTACTAACTTTTTATTAGGAAGCCTAGAGTGACTCCTGCTGGCAAACATTCAGTTTATTCCTACAATTACTAGTTCATCAGGTCAACTTAAAAAACAAGATGCAGGGTCCCAAGCCTGGAAACAATTATTACAACCATTATTCTTGTTGCTTTCAGGATGATCTGCGTTTCACATTCCAAGGATGGTGGTCATGGCCAGTTCCTCTGCAGTAACACCTCCTCTGCAACTTAAAGCAGCCTGTTTTTCTGGTTCTGAGGCTTTCTTGAGGCTGTCTAGAACTAATATACTTGCTTAAGAAGTTATGCTACTAAACAATGAATAGTTACTTCTCATTTTCTAGATCTGTATCTCCAAAAGCTAAAAATATATACATACATTAAGACCTGTGTCACACAACTTTCCATACTATAGGCTCTTCCCACATGATATAATAATCCTACAGCTATATTATAAAACACCCTCATTTCTTAGTGCTCAGCTCCATAGTTCTTTACTATGAAAAACTTTTACCCAAAAGGTAGAGTTCTGCTCAATTCAGAAGAGTAGATAAAAACGTAGAACTCTGGATTTAAAGCTGTGTAAAAGCTGCAAAGGGGCAGGGGCACAGATTGTCTACCTTTTTTAAATCTGAAATAGTGGAAACCAAATCAAAACCAGATTTTGCACACAACCAGACACCTAAACACAAATTCATAGGCCAATTTAGGAATAAATCCATAAATAATCTATTACTTATAACTTTTCCATTATCATCAACCAACGCTGACCTGATTAAGGCAGAGAACACCCTGGGAAATATAAAATGCAGGGATCACTTGCAGTCTTTTTTTTTTTTGAGGCAGAGTTTTGCTCTGTTGCCAGGTGCCAGGCTGGAGTGCAGTGGCACGATCTTGGCTCACTGCAACCTCCGCCTCCCAGGTTCAAGCAATTCTCCTGCTTCAGCCTCCCAAGTAGCTGGGACTATAGGCAAATGCCACCATGCCCAGCTAATTTTTGTATTTTAGTAGAGACGGGGTTTCACTATGTTGGCTAGGATGGTCTCTATCTCTTGACCTCAGGATCTGTCCACCTCGACCTCCTAAAGTGTTGGGATTACAGGCATGAGCCACCATGCCCAGCCCTACTTGTAGTCTTTTACTTCAAGACCAATATATGACAGCCCAGCGCCGTGGCGGGCCGTCATATATTGGTCTTGAAGTAAAACTAAATCATAGCACTTTGGAAGGCCGAGGCAGACAGATCACTTGAGGTCAGGAGTTTGAGACTAGCTTGGCCAAGAAAGTGAAACCCCATCTCTACTAAAAATACAAAAATTAGCCAGGCATGGTGGTGGGCACCTGTAATCCCAGCTACTCAGGAGGCTGAGGCAAGAGAATCACTTGAACCTGAGAGGCAGAGGTTGCAGTGAGCCAAGAGTGCACCATTGCACTCCAACCTGGGCGGAAAAAAAATATATATGAAAACCAGGGATAAAACACAGCAATCCTAGTTCCCCCAAAGGGAGACTACCAAATAGAGGCACACTTATGTGTAAGGTATGCATCACATTTCCACTCAAAACTGCCTGGAAGATATAAACTGAATATCGTTCTATATTATACAGCTCTCCTATTGCAAGTTTAAAGTTCTTAAGCAACAGGAGACAATAAGGGTGTGTTTTATTAAGGGTGTAACCAACTATAACTTGTATCAACAAGCTAATAAAAGTATTCACCTAAGCACATTTGTGCAGGGAGAGTAAAGGTTGGGTTTTGATATGCACTAAGGAGTTTCCTAGGTAGTTAGTGGGTGTTTTATTTTTATGCCTTTAGAAGCAGATAAATGACATTCAAAGAAAGAGCTGAGCTTTGAGGCTTGAGCAAGTACCAGCAAATGTTCCGTTTTTCCCATCAAATCTATCTCTATGTATGGTTATAAAAAGAGCTCACCACTAAAAAAAATTATAAACTGGTTTGAGAGAATAACACACTATTCTTTTTAGACTAACAAGTGAACTAAACAAACGTCAAATGTTATACACTGGACCCAACAGCAGTACGCAGATGCACGTGTATTCACCCCTTTATTTGGCTTCCAAAAGCCACTGCCTCTTTGTCACAACCCTTGTATTAAAAGCCAGTCATTCACATTTCACACTGTTCTTTCTACATTTGAAAAGATCTTTTTTAAAGCAGAACCTTTTAAAATTGCTTATAATAAATTATGGGAAGACAGACATCACCAACTCCACCTTAAATATTTTCAAAAAGATTGGTGACTAGAAATATGTTAGCAAAATATACTTATTTGGAAAATATAAGAAGTTTCTGGTTATAGATGGAAATAAAAAATTGGAACCTACAATGGGGGCAAATTTTCATGTCTTACTCAGAAAACAAAGTTCTGTAAATTTTCCCACATCTTTTTCCAGCTACAACTAATAACCCTACCTACATTAGCATGTAGGGATCGCATGACGCATTAATCCTTCTGTTCTTTCCTTCCCGTCTTTTTATCCACTGAAGAAAATAAGAAATG